GTATATAAAAATGTGCAGTACTTGTTCAGCCGAATTTACCAGACTAGAAGTCATCCTTATCCTTGGCCAAACGGGTATGACTTTACGCACACATTCCTTAAACTCTACTATCTCGAGTCACCAGAACCACATATTACTTTTGTCATTCTGATCCAGCGTCGCCAATAGCCAATATACGTATATTAATGGAATTGGAAAGTCATGCACATTTTTTAAATAGCTTCTGTAATAATATTATATGTGAAATATTCTAAAATTAAAAGAAATTAGAATTTCAAAAATTATTATGGGTGTCACTTGGAACTGTATTTAAATTGTTATTTTCAAATTAGCTAAGACATGAAATACATTATAAGTATCAATTATAAATCAGGGATAAATCGACACAACGCAGAATATTTATGTATTTGTTTGAGGAGCTATTTACAATATATATACTTGAGGCTATAGTGTGTATTTGATATTGCACATATATGTTTACTTAGTTGGTAATTAATTAAGAGAAGACTAGTGCTTTTCCCTTATTTACTAGCCTTGGCATGATTTTCATATGAGAACATACAAATAACTGCTAACTTTTGCGATAGAATTGTTCGGATTAGAAAAGTCACAGAACACTTACACTTATATTTTTAGAAGAATTCATTCAAATCGATATTGTTTATAAACATTGGAATGATTTAACGTATTGACGGTCATTGCTATTGTCGATCCATTTATTTACGCTTTTGCTAATTTGACTGAAAAATTAAAATCTGCCTTTCTATTAAAGTCGATGTACTAAGGCATTTGTCACGAACACTGAAGGAGAAAACATCAGAGTAGCCACGTTTATTAATTTGCGGCAGACAACTCGAACTGTGTTGCCCAGTGTAGACGCAGAGGGGGGCACATTTGTAAACAAGTTTTGAGCCAAGCGACCGCGAGTACAGCGCAAGATAAACGAGATGGCCACGTTGGTGATAGCCAGAGAAAAAGTGAATTGATTATGGATGATGTCGATGCGAGAAAGAAAAAGCTGTTCATCGAGAGCAAGCTTAAGCCAAAGTGAAATTTGCTTTAGCCCGACCCGCGCACTGCGGGGAGCTTTTTAATTAAGATGTATGCGCTGCTCGTATCTAAACTTGGGTTTGTTTTCTTTCTTATTTATTGTTTATTTGTTTACTTGCAACACAGGAACCCCAGCTGGTGGCGACGACGCACCAAGCTGGAGCGTGGCCTGCTCGTGCTGAGTAGTATTCTGTTCCTAGTTGCGGCAACTGGCTTCGGTCTTTGGGCATTCGATGCACTCAGAGCAGAAGGCGCTGGCACAGACCCTGATCTGGCAGAGACTCCACCACATGCAACTGCATTGCACGGAGATAGCACCACTATGAACAAGGTGCCCGGCATGGAGAACAAGAAGCCAGCGGGGGAGAACGTTTGCCTGACCAAAGAGTGCATACACACTGCATCCACGGTGCTGCGTAAGATCAAGCCCGACGTGGAGCCGTGCGATAATTTCTATGAGTTTGCTTGCGGCAGCTATATCGAGGAGGAGAACATTCCTGATGACAAGGTATCCATCAGTACATTCTCTGTTATCTCGGACAAGCTACAGGAGCAGCTTAAGGACATCATCACCGCTGAGCGACCAGCCACAGACTTTAAGCACTTCCGGTTGCCTAACCTGCTCTATAAGGCCTGCATGAACAAGAGTATGTGATCTATTAATAACCGAAGAATCTAGGAGCTCAATGTTTATTTCATTTCTGCAGCGCTGATTGAATCTTTGGGTGCCACGCCCATTGCCAAAATAGCCAAGTCCTTAGGCGGCTGGCCATTGATTGAAGGGGATAACTGGAATAAGGATGATACCTGGACCTGGCAGGAGCAGGTCAAGAAATTCCGCAAGGCCGGCTTTAGCATGGACTACATCATTGACTTTTCCATTGGAGTGGATCTACAGAACAGCACAAAACGTATCATGGACGTAAGTGTGGACAGCAATCAATGTTTTACAACTGATAATAATATACATATATATTCCTTATAGCTGGATCAGTCGGCGCTGGCTCTGAGTCGCGAATACCTGGTTAAAGGCATGAATGAGACACTGGTTCAAGCCTACTATGACTACATGGTGGATATTGCGGTGCTCTTTGGCGCCGATAAAGCTCAGGCTAAGGAACAGCTGATGCAGTCTCTCGAATTCGAAATGGCATTAGCTAATGTATGCTCAACAAGATTTGATTGTATGTTAACACATAAGCTTAATCATATGCCACTGGCTCTCTAGATTTCCTTGCCCAATGAAAAGCGCCGCAACTCCTCGGAACTGTTCAATCCTCGCACCACACAGCAGCTGCAGGCAACTTATCCTTACGTTCAGTGGGTAGATTATATGAACGCGCTTTTGCCCGATGGGCTCTCCGTGCAGGATGATGAGATTATCAATTTGACCGTGCCATCATTCTTCGAGGAGCTGGGAAAGCTACTGGCGAAAACACCAAATCGTGTCATTGCCAATTATATGATGTGGCGCATACATGCTTTTTCTATCGGATTCCTGAGCGAGGAGTTCAGAAAACGCCAGCTGCAATATATTACCGCTCTATCGGGTCGCCAGGAGCAGGAGGCGCGCTGGAAGGAATGTGTTGACATTGCCTCCGGCAGGTTAGTATCCGAACTTCAGAATACTATTTATTTAATTTTGAAAGAGGTGTTGAGGACTCGTTTAGGTGCCTGAAAAATGTCTGCAACGATTTTTTCTATGGTCATTTTCGTTATATTCTGATTGATTTCTTTGTGATTTTACAGTGAACGGAACGAGCTTGAATCAGATGTTGATAGGTATTTAGAGAATTTCAACATGTTAGAAAACTCACATACCCCACGCACTCATATCCCTGAAAATGCTCATTATATATCGCCACCTTTCAGTTCTGCTCCTTCCACTGCCTTAGGGAAATACAAGTCAGAAGAGAATTGGGCATACAAAATTAATTAATTCAAATATCATTCCAYATACTTATGTATACGTTGTATTGCATAGCAAATGAATCCATTTAGCTTTTTTCGACAACACTAAATTGCGTGTGGGTCCACTCTCTAGTCATTTAGGTTTTGAGCATGGACATACTGTTTATTTGCTTCAATTATTTATGTTAATTTATTAAAAATACTCATTTAATGTTTCACTTTCATGCCATCTCCTAACTGTTCATCAGTCAACAACTAAATTCACAGAACAACAACTATTGCGACAATATATGTATATACCTGATCACAATGTTTTATAATATCTAATAACAATATAAAATTTTAACCAAAAATCAGCCTCGGCATATCGGTTGGCTCTCTCTATGTACGTAAACACTTCAATCAGGACTCAAAAGCGAACGCCTTGGAAATGGTCAACGATATACGCATGGTATTCAGCGATATTTTAGATGAGGTTAACTGGATGGACGAGAAGACCAAGAAAGAGGCCAAGCTGAAGTTGCACAGCATGGCCACCCACATCGGCTACCCCGATGAGATGCTGGACAACGAGAAACTGGCCAAATATTTCGAGAAACTTGACATCAATCCTGATGCATACTTCGAATCGTTTTTGAACATGAACATCTTCGGGACCGACTATTCCTTTAACAAGCTGCGTCAGCCAGTCAACAAAACGGAGTGGGTGCGTCATGCCCGCCCAGCTGTTGTGAATGCCTTCTATTCGTCGTTGGAGAACAGCATACGTAAGTTGTGGAGCAGGATGAGGAGCCGTATTATACTGTATCCGTCACTTGAATTTCACAGAGTTCCCGGCTGGCATACTGCAGGGTCACTTCTTTAATGCCCAGCGACCAAAGTATATGAATTTTGGAGCGATTGGCTATGTCATTGGCCACGAAATCACTCATGGATTCGATGATCAGGGTCGCCAGTTCGACGTGAAGGGCAATTTGCGGGACTGGTGGCAGCCAGACACTCAGAAGGCGTATCTGAAGAAAGCCCAGTGCATTATTGATCAGTACGGCAACTATACAGAGAGAGCAACGGGCTTGAATGTGAGTTTGCCCTAATTTTTGTATCTGTAAAACAGCTAATCTGAATATGCTCGTTTTTTCTACTCACACAGTTAAATGGAATCAATACACAAGGCGAAAATATAGCAGATAATGGTGGAGTAAAAGAGTCCTACATCGCATATAAACGCTGGGTAGAGAAACACGGTGAGGAGCCAAAACTCCCCGGCTTGGACTATACGCCGCAGCAAATGTTCTGGATCTCAGCTGGTCAAACCTGGTGTGCCAAATATCGTAAAGGTAAGCTTTCAAAATATAACGACTTATTATCAAATATTACGCATACGCTTTCTTGCAGAATCTCTAAAAATGAGAATCACAACAGGTGTGCACTCACCGTCGGAGTTCCGTGTACTCGGTTCACTGAGCAATATGAAGGACTTCGCCAAGGACTTCCTATGCCCTGAAGGCTCACCGATGAATCCTGTGCAAAAGTGTGAAGTTTGGTAGGAACTACCAGTAGATTGATTGTATTCCCATTAAAAAAAAATAAAATGAAGGGCTCTTTAGAAATCTATTAATGATGTATTAGCGCTCAAGTCCACATTGTATGGACTAATCTCACGTAGATTTAGCTTTAATTCCCCTAGAGTACTTATGCTAAATGAGCATAATGTAAGACATTTATTTAATAAAAGTTGTTTTTATGTACCGAAAAATTTGATCTTTGATCTGAGCAAATCAACGAAACACGCACACTTTTAAAAATCAACAACTTATATTTTTTAGATGTGCGCCATATACTCAATTCGATACTTATCGATTAACAAATAGTCGATGCATTAATTACACAACAGTTGCGTCTTTGGAAAGTGCTGCCCATGCATATATCGCACTAATGAAATATATCGGCAGCCCACCACAAGCTATCGTTAATAGTCTATCACCCCTAGGTCCTTTTCACATAGCGTGGCAGCTGCAAGTTTATTTGTAAAGTGTCATTTTAACGTTCTGCGTTTAAAAAATAACGATGTCGGGGCTTAATTTGACCGTGCGTGTGCACCCGGTGGTTTTGTTCCAAGTTGTGGATGCGTTCGAGCGTCGTAATGCTGATTCACATCGAGTTATCGGCACACTGCTGGGCTCGGTTGACAAGGGAGTTGTCGAGGTTACCAACTGCTTTTGTGTGCCGCACAAAGAGCATGACGATCAGGTGGAGGCGGAGCTGAGCTATGCCTTAGATATGTACGACCTTAATCGTAAAGTGAACGCCAACGAGAACGTCGTGGGCTGGTGGGCCACCGGCAACGAGGTGACGAATCACAGCTCTGTCATACACGAGTACTATGCCCGGGAATGCAACAATCCGGTCCACCTCACTGTGGACACATCGCTCCAAAGTGGTCGAATGGGCCTGCGCGCCTACATTTGCATCCAGCTGGGCGTCCCCGGTGGCAAAACTGGCTGCATGTTCACACCCATACCTGTTGAGCTAACCAGCTACGAACCCGAGACTTTTGGCCTCAAATTGTTGCAGAAGACGGTTACCGTATCGCCAGCGCATCGACCCAAGACGGTAGCGCCCATGCTGGACCTAGCCCAGATCTCTGAGGCAGCAACAAAACTGCAATCTCTGCTGGACCTCATACTAAAATACGTGGACGATGTCATTGCGCACAAAGTGACTCCCGATAATGCGGTCGGACGTCAGCTCCTCGACCTCATCCACTCTGTGCCACACATGACTCACGAACAGTTCACGCAGATGTTCAATGCCAATGTACGGGATTTGCTAATGGTTATTACTCTCTCACAATTGATCAAGACGCAGCTGCAGCTTAACGAGAAGCTCACATTCCTGCCAACGGCTTAAATGATGAGCGAATAAATGGGTTTATTTCTAAATGAATTCCGCGTACTCACATTTTTTGTCAATGCGTCATAAAATAAAGGACCAGATATCCGAGAAAAATGCGTTTATTTTTTCGTATACTTTGAAATGAAATATTGGTATCGTGCGCTGACAGTTTATCTTGAGTCTAAAATGCGTATTACTCTGATACATCACATTTTTTCGGAGGACGAGGACAGTCACTCAATTATCTAATTTTTAAAACCTTATAAGCAATACTATATATATGGGGATTGTGTAGACGATATGTTTCAAATTGAAATTTCTCAGAATATCTACGAATCACTATGTAGTCGGGTACAATTTGCCAAGCCCCTAGTAAGAGTGGGAGAATATATCCCAAACTAAATGTCTAAAACCTTTAGCTATAGCGTTTTTATTACACTTGGTGTAATGGGCATAATTCCTACATTGCGATTTCTCGATTTTGGCAGATATAACAAGCAGGCTCTAGTCGCGACTGCTCGACTAGGAGATAACCTGAACCCTCCAAGCTGATACTCTAATCATTCTGCGCTTCTTCTATGCACACATAAATACACATGCATCCAGACACACGTATCACAACGCGCTCTGCTAACGGCGCAGTAAACAGCGACTGCGCTTGGGCTTCTCTGCAATTTGGGCAATATTATACGAATTTATTTGTTGAATAATTTAGTTTCTAGGCGTACACTCTTAATGAAACTTTTGAATGTAATCATAATGTTCAAATGTATGTACAATTTGAAGTCTCCAGGTCTAAAAGTGTTCAAATTAGGCTGAAAAAAGAAGTCGATTTTTCGATTATTCTCGATAAAAAATGTTATCGGATGAGCTATCGAAAAAATATGATAAACTTGTACTATCTATGGTATACACGAGTATGCATGCCAAATTTC